AAAAAATATTTGGGGGGGAAGGACTCTTTCTCACTTCTTTATTGAAAGACGAAAAGAGAATCTTTCGTGGTGCGTGGTGCAACGGGGCGCTGTCGCCATATCGTGCATCAGGCTTTATCATAAACATGGGAACAGTCGCCAATACGCGCTCTCCTACCTTTCGCGAAGCGCCTTCTTGCCGGTCGTTTCCATATCAGAACGGTTGTGCTGGACGAGGCGCGGGCGCGGTCCCGGGCTCGGTCTACCTCACGGGCGCGAGGCGTTTTATGGCCCAGCAGCGCACGGCAACGCTGCACCACGCAACGCTATGGGTGACGGCGGGCGGGGCGGGGCGCGGTGGGCGGACGGGCGTAAGGCTATGGGCGAGGCGAGGAGCAGCGAGGCAGCCTCTACTGGGGGGGGGGGGGGGCAACGGCTGGACAGGACGAGACGTCTAGGACGCCTAGCTGTCTGCGGCGTGGTATGGGCACGGCCAAACTTAGGATGCGCTTTGTAAATCTTTCGCTCATTCAAACTGTAAAACAACATTTACCTGGTGGTGGGTGCAGGTGCTGCCAGGCAGAGGTGTAGTCTTGCCCCGTTCAACGCAGCCGTCATGCAGTTGTATGTTGATGTTTTTCCATCGTCCTCCAAAAGTCAAATATTTGGTTTTACCGTGTGGTCACGAAAATTGGCATCGGTTGCGCTCGCACACTTACAGCCCCCGTGAAATTATTTTTAAAAAGAAATTTCAGGCAAAGGGAGAACACCAGCTCCCCTCACCCGGCCGACACGGGGGGTCGCTCATACTCGCTGACGATCCTCTCCCGCACTCACGCCGGAGTCTTCCCGCACCCCGCTCACCCGTGGTCCGCGGGCGAGGCGGAGCCGTGTGGCTCCACCGCGGGACCGGGGCCTCCGGGACCACCAGCCTAGACACATAATAAGATTACTTTGCTCTCAGGGTCTTTTCCGGGGAGCCCAACCCGACCGCCCACCCGTGGGCCGGCCGGGCCCCGCCCGAGGCACGTATCCGCTCGGAAGCTCCGGACCTAGCCAAAGACTAGTCAAAGACTAGTCAGAGACTAGTCAAAGACAAGCCACTTAAAAGGGCCTCCTCCCCCACGATTAATTTTCTCCCAATACTCCTTGGTTGAGAATTCGAGTCAAAGGCGTGAAATGCAAAATAATAACTGCCTACACACTAAAAGCTTATGAACATTTTTTTTTCATAGTTACTGAGGAGTTCTGTAAACATGCTCGGCTGACGCATTTTTTAATGCGCCAGTATGAAGAACTTTGTGCATACTGGCGTATTAAAAAATGCGTAAGCCGAGCATGTTAACAGAACTCAGTAACTATGAAAAAAAAAAAGTTCACAAGATTTTAATGTGTAGTTTGTTATTACTCGCCAAAATGAGAATTTATAAATCACAATCAATCCTCTACGTGGGGACAAGAAGGAACTTATTCGACAACTTTTTTATTTTTTCAAACTCACCCATCTCCTGGGACTCTCTGTAGCAAAGTCTGTAGCATCTGGGCGGGCAGCCCCGCGCTGCAAGCATGTGCAACGGGACTGCATACCTAACAGGCTGTCCATAGCGCCCGGGTGGGTGGACAGCCCCGCGCTGCACGCCTGTGCAACGGAACTGCATACCTTACAGGATGTCCATAGCGCCCGGGTGGGTAGACAGCCCCGCGCTGCACGCCTGTGCAACGGGACTGCATACCTTACAGGATGTCCATAGCGCCCGGGTGGGTAGACAGCCCCGCGCTGCACGCCTGTGCAACGGGACTGCATACCTTACAGG